CGCACGATGGAGCTCGAAAACGCTGTGTTCCGACTCCAATCGCGGGTCAACGAGCTGGAAGGTATGCCCAGCGGTCCCGGTCCATCGACGTATCCAGGACATGTGCGCGGCGGACCGAATTTCCACTGGTCGCCGCAGGTTTCAGGCACCAGCTCGCCGTTTGGTGGCTCTTCGAGAGGTATGCTTTTTCGTACCGTGATGTCGTTACCGCTGAATGTTTGTCGAAGGCTCGAGATCTCCCCAATCGGGGTCGGATGATTCATTTCTTGGCGTCGAGGTACGTTTAGCACTTGAGTATTCATGGTGCATCCTAATTCCTTCGCAGGAACCTCCGCTCCTCATGATTCAGATGCTGTGAGTCCCTCCACCGTCTCGCGATAAGCCTTAATTGATCGGGACCTTCTCTAGATTGGATTACTTCCTGCCGCATGCTACCCAATTCGGATTCTTTCTCGACTTCAATGGCTTCAGAGAGGCTGCACTTCTTCCGCTCCCTTTCGGCAACGCCGCTCGACCCTCTCCGGCCCTTCTCTCTGTGGTATATCTCTGGGGTGTCCATCTCTCCCTCTCCCAGCCCCTCATCTCCTCCGAACCCATCTTCCTCAAACGCGCGCAGCAGCACGTCTCGGTCGAAATCACCGAGACCGGAAGCCCAACGCCCTTCCTGCACACCATTCAAGCACAGGTTCTCCTCTCTACGTACATGTTCCGCAACAAGCGCTTCCTCGAGAGCGAATTTCACGTCAACGGCGCCGCGACGCTGGCGATCGGCTACCAGCTTCACAAGATACGCTCCGCGCGCCCAAGCTCGCCGCCGTTGCTCGGCGTCCCCACCATGCTCGAAGTGTACCCGAATCCCCCACAGAGCGCCGTCGAGGAAGGCGAGCGCATCCGCGGCTTCTGGGCCGTCGCGTGTCTGCAGAGCAGCCTCAATATCGCGCTGAACTCTGCGAGCGGGAACTTCTCGATCCTCGAGGCATCTGGCGTCGATATCGACATCCCGTGGCCGCTGGAGATAGCGGATTACGCTGCGGGACGGATGCCCCGCGGGTATCGTGGGCAGGAGACGGTCAAGAACTTCTTCATCGAGGAGCCGCCCGTGTCCTGTCCGGTCTCTACGCTTTACGCAAAGGCGGCGGTACTGCTCCATCGGGCCGCGCGCCTGGGCGCGCGGTGGTCCCCAAGTGCGTCGGCGGCTTATTCGCAATCTCCCTGCTAACGGCTATCCCACAGGTCTGCAACCACAGGATGCCGCCTCGTACGCCGTGTCCGCTACGTGGCTCGACGCACGGATAACGAAATTCTGGGAGCGACTCCCGCCGTTGTACGACTTTTACGCCGACCCCGCGACCGCACGCACCCTGGTCGTCGCGCACGCCATGACCGCTGCCGCCGCGATCAAGCTGCACCACCACTCCCCCGCTGCCGCCGCCGTCGACCCCGAGGCCCAGAAAAAATGCATCTTTGCCGCAGGCGCGATCATCACGTGTCTCGGGGACAGCAACATCGCGGACTTTACGACGGCGCACCCGGTGGTCGGCGCGCTATGTGTGCTGGCGTGTCGCGTGCTGATGGGTGAGGTGCGGACGCTGCAAGTGTTTCGCGGGGTGTGGGGGCAGGGGCGTCTTGGGGTTGCAGGGCCTCCCCCGCCGGGGCCGGAGGAGGTGTCATTGGCGACGAGTCTTCAGGACGGCATTACGACCATGCGGATGTATGCTGTGGGGAGTCCTTTGATTAGTGGGTGTCCTCCATTTGTTTAAGATTTCTGTGACTTATGTCGGCGCAGAATACCAACTGGCAAAGTTGCAGCAGCAGTACGAATCATCGTACTAGGTCCGGTGTTTCCCTTTCCTGTTTTGTCGCATACAATTTGAACCCGCAGTCCTGTGCACTTGGCCCCAATTGTATCTATAGTTCAATCCTTTGCGACGTCGTGGCGCACTCATCTCGGAAGCGGAGACTTTTGAATCACGATAAGTCTTCAAGGTTCAGTTCCGGCTCATGGAAATCCGAGCGAACAGCCTCTTGAGCCGCGGAAATAGTTCATTCGGTCCATTGGGGTATTCTACTTGAACGGAGGCGGATTCGGGGATCAGCTTTGCCGACGCCGATCCATTAATTTTAGACACCTTAAACCCGGACAGCGGTGACGTTTTGTTTCGGGTCGCATCCAAGCCCTTCCTTCTCCGAGACAACCATGAAACTAACCAGCCCGGCAACTCTCGCTCTTTCTCTCTCAAGACTCGAGTTCCGCCCGTGTGTTCCACTTCAAAATCTAGATAAGCAGAATCTAGACGAGCCAGATGGACTTCGCGCTGTTGGCAGCTGGAAACTTATAACGGGATTCGAACATGAAGGAACTCTTTACCCCAGCTTCAACCTCTTCTTACTGGACTTGCCTTCACGGACGAAACACGCCGCTCTCGTCCTCGACGCTCAGACTCGGAAGACCGTCATCAAATGATAATCACTACCAACACTGCGTTTCCATCTGCCTGTGGGATTTATGCACTGCTTTTCAACGGCGAATCCAGAGAGCCTGCAGAGGACGAGTCCTCTCCACCTGCTCATGCTGCTAAATTCGACTCACTGCCCCGCCGTAATCTCGCTTTCCGGTGGAGGCTTCAATGTGATCTGCAGTTGACGAATCCTCCGGGAATGGCATTCCCGAGTCTGTCCCCAGTCCGCTAATGAACGGCGGGGTAATTTCCCCATAGATTCTACGGGTCTTAAGGAGGAGAGAGCCTGCACTCAGGATAACTCGAACGCGACATGTTCAACCCTTACGGCCAAAGCGGATGGGCCAACAACCAGAATCCCAACGCCCTTGGTTCGTCGGCCAGTATCCCTCCGCAACCCTCACTATTTGGGCTACTGCCCTCTGCCACCTCCCATTCTCCCGAGGCTAACCTTCTCTCCTTCGAATTCACCTCGTTCAACCCAAACATCCTGAACTCGACTGTCATGGGTCCTCGCTCTCGCGGATACTTCCGGATCACCACGGACACTCCCACCGTTGGATTCACTGTATTCTTCAACGCCACCGGGACTCCCATGGCAATCGTGGAGTGGCTCGACCAGCCGGTTGTGGAGATACGGGGAATCCTGTCCAAGAGACGCGCGTTGGATTGGCTCGCGGTCTCGCCGAACGGCAGGTTCGTTGCTGCGTTGCTCTGGACTGGAGACATGCCCACGGCCTGCGGCGTATTTCTCTAGCCATCGCAAGATGGAAGCACTGGGGAAACATTTCGTATGGGCGCCCGGGGGAGACTACATTTTTGTACGTCTGTTTTTACTGTTCACATAAAATTCGGAGGCTTACTGTTCTACTGTTCTTCCAGTTGTATGCCGCGGGTGTTGGACGGCCGCAAGTTTATGCTCAGGTTTCAAGAGGCGAGGATTTGGTGAAGCTTGAGTTGACGGCAGAGGCAATCCAAATTGGCTTGCTGGAGATCTGCGTCGTAGCCTCTTTCCTCCTGCAGTGTGGAAGGAATATCGGATGAGGTTCAATGTTTGCTTACTCGTTCAATCTTGCTCTGTGTCGTTTTGCTACTGCTTTCGGTGTATGTTTATCTACTAGCTGCATTTGTAGCACCTAAATGGACCATTTCGTTCCACGTTCTCATTTTGCGGACGCGACTTGGACGGACGCGTTTTCGGATCACGTCTGCTTTTGGAAACTCCACTGGCATTCGATCCAAATACGACCCTACGCGCCGCCCTCTGCTTCTTTCCGCCATGTCTAAGTAGCCTCGTCTACAATGTCCAACTAACCCAGCTCCCGCCACCGCGAATCTGGCGCCGTTCGCTCCCGCACTTTCTCTGCACGTTTCCGGGCCGCGCTCGCATGGATGGATGGAAGGCTGAAGCCTTCAAGCTGGTCCGCGATCGCCGATTTGTCTAAGTCCCAGCGGGTCACTCCAGGTCTGCAGTCCAGCTTCGCCTTTGCGATTCGATCCTACTTGGGCAGGGTCTATATCGAATGCACCTGATCACCGCGACAAGATTCTTTACTGCCACGGCCATGGCGGGGAGCGTGTTTTTCGGATGTTTCTGGGCCGCACCCACATCGATCTGCACGACGTCGGGCTAGCGCGAAGAGGCGTGGAGGGTTCCTCCGTGACTTTTTAACGAGATCCAAGCTGACGGATTCGGCTTCGTGAATCAACTGTCGTTATGCAGGGTCCATTGGAATCCACATCTATGAGCGACCGGAATTCCCGCCAAAGCGACGGCGTTCTTCGGTTCTCTCCTGGCGCGCGCGAACGGACTTCAAATCGGACTCAGGCCTGCAAACGCCCACAGGGTCAATCCTGTCGGACTCACGAAGTTGAATACATCCACCCCGTCGGTCTTCAATTATCATCAAGGTTAAACTGAAATGAAGTGTCGACATCTCAGGCTGTAAACGGCGATTGCCGTCAATCTCTACGGCGAGGGACAAGTGTTGTGGGCTCTAGTGGTGAGATTCTTCCCACTTCAATCGTTCATTGATAAATCACTAGATAGCACTGCCAGCGTGTATTCGTTTCATGACACGGGGACCGTATTCTTTTCTTCATTGCTATCTTCACGGACTGCGCGCCGTCGTGGGACGATCGCCGTGACGGTGTACATGGTGTCCGCGTGGTCGAGGGAGTCTGGCTGATACAAATTTCGATCTAGGTACCCACAACCGACCGAAGCGCTCCGAAGCGCCTCACAGAAGAATGTTCATCGCTTGAGAAGCAGAATTCCGCGGAACACGAATGATGTTTTCGAGGTATGGTCGGTTTCTCCATGACTATCCTCGTCCAACGGCCCACCGAGGCAATCCCACGAGTTGGATCAATTCCAAATCTGAAAGTTAAAAGCAACGATCCTACCGCATATTGCACTTGAAAAGCACTAATACGTGGGTCCACAGTAGAAAGGAAGACAGCCAAGCAAACCTGAGAGGGTCGCCGCGCCCTCGATGCACCGCAGACCCCGCAACATCCTGGTTTGCCGAGCATTGTTATGGCCTTGTGGTCCAGAGGCAAGATGCTTGCTTTGGGCTCTGTAGTAATGCAACTGCAAGCGACCTGGGTTCGATTCCCAGCAGGGCCCCCATGACTTTTTTGGCCTTGTCAATCGCACCTCCAGCCAGCTCCGCTGTGAAGTACGATCAACTCCGTCGGATGCCCACTACCATTCAGAATCTCCACGTTGATGGCTTCTTCCGGGCCCCGGATAACCATCGTCTTGGTTTTCGCCCAAGGTCACCTCAATTAAATAGCAAGGGCTCAATTTTCTGGCTACATAAGTTTTTCGATGTCTGCCTCGCAAATGTGACGACTCGATCGGTTTGTTACGGTGTGCGGTTTGTTGCGGTAACCGAATTTTGGCTTTTTGATATTGAGAAAGTCAGCATATGGACATGTCGCCAGAAATGTCTCCGTGCCGAGTAGGCCGGTGACCTTGTTGTTTCCCATCTTCTTCTTCGGAATCCAGCGAACATCTTGCAGGCCTTCCCTGCTGGCTGGCAGTGGCACGCCTTGTTCCACCCCACAATGGCCCCGCTACCCAATATCCAGCTCTCGTGAGTCCCGTCCTCTCGTTGACCACACTAGATCACTCACCCGACGCAGCTACGGACCAATGTTAATAGGCAGGTTTCGTCGGTTAAGCGCAATTTATTCCAGAGCTAAGATGGCGGCCACAGGTGTATTCTTTAACATGATACTCTATGGGGTGCGTGCGCTCGGCACACTTGTCGACAGCCTTACCAACTGCACCATTCAGGTATTCGTAGGCCAGGTTCGTGGCCAAGCCCGACACATCGTCCCGGAACTCATTAACCTCACAGGCGTTGACCTACTACCAACTATACCGCAAGTACGCCGCTTTGTGAATGTTCTGCCGTCGCGCGGGGTTGCTGACGGAGTCACAGGGATGGCGCCTGGATGCGATACTTTGTGCGGCACTCAATCGGCGTTCACCTTGCCTTGGACTAATCCCTGCCTCCCAGGTTCTATACCTCTTTGTTCTAGAGACCGCCAACACCGCTCTTGACATCGGAATCATGTACCAACCCTTGATTTTGGAATACGGCGAGTATTGACTCTCCATCTCAAATGACGCGTCTCATGCATGTCCACATAGGCCAGAAACCAGTCGACTTCCCTCTTCGTACGTTCCTCGTTTTCCCCCTGCTCTCGCCCGCCTAATGACTACCGCGAATAGTGTTCCCGAGTCGTACGATTCTTCATTTCCTTGATCGCAGTCGTCCTGATCCAGCTCTCCACCTGCCCCAGAGCCATTGATCGTGGTGCGTCCCCCGTACCACTTCGCGTTCTGGGCGAAGCGCTAAGCCTTTACGCAGGTCCTCGTCTCCACGCCGATCCAAATCTTTTTCGCCTGGAGAATATATACCATCACGAAGATGATCTGGGTGCCGATCGTCATCGGCATGTTTGCTGTCGCCGCTCTCAGTGCGCTTGGTCCCACCTCTCTCCGCAACACCGCTGACTTTGTGAATTAGCTGGTGGTCTCTGGACGACGGCCAAGGTCGCCATCATCAAGCAATTCGCGCATAAACCCGAGCTTCACACCTCCGCTCTCCTGTGGTTCCTCGCGTCCTGCGTCGCCGATCTCCTCATTACCATCTGCCTCGTCATGACTCTTGTCAGCGACCCTTCGTTTCTCCTGCATGTGGTTTTATTCATTTAATATGTGTGTAGGCCCACCGTAAGACCGGCTTCGTAGCAACAGATTCCGTGATCGACAAGATTATACGCAGTACGCACGACTAGCCTTGGAGCACCAGCGCCCTTGCTGACACGCTTCCCGCCAGCTACGATACAGACTGGGATGGTGACGTCCATATTCAGCATCCTTGATGTGATCTGCTTCATGGTCTTCCCTGTGCGTCTCTCCGAGCCCTCTTTCCTGTCGTTAAGCTGACTGGTGACCCGAAGCACTACTCCATGTACGCCCACCCTTGTCTCGCAATCAACGCCCGTTGACTCTCCACAGAAACTTCATCTGGGACCTTGCTCTGAGCAAGCTGTATTCTAATGCGCTTCTCTCGACGCTCAACGCGCGCGCCTACTTTGACACCATCACCACCTCCCGCTTCTCCGGCTCCCGCGATGTCGCAGGGGTCCGCCGGGCCCCGCAGACGACGCAGCTGGTGTTCGAGGACATGGCGCTCTCCAGGCCCACGCCGGCGGGGACCAGGTTCGACGAGTTTGAGGACCTCGAGGGTCAAGGCGAGTCGGTGCGGGATAGCGGGATGGGGACGGACGGGTCGGTTATGGGCATCCCGCCGCCGACGACCAAGTTTGACGATGCGTCGGGGCGGGAAAGCGCGACAGGGACGGATGTGTCCGCAGATGAAATTATGGAGACCCCGCGGACGGGCGGCTTCATGCTGTATACCGGAGTGCGTCTCTTTTCCGTCCAGAAACAGGTAGCTGACGCGATTTACCAGGAGTCTCCTTCGACACGCGGGCGGTCAGAGCGATAGTCTCCCTCCATCGCATTCCTCTCTTTTCCTTTGTCTATAGCATTCGTGAATGTCTCGCATCGCATGTACATACCTATCTCACGCATCGTCTCCTTCTATCTACTCACTCGCTATCTATCTATTACAATCTACTACAGCCATTATTCCTCCTGCTGCGCGCATCACTTCTGCCGTCGACATTCGCTCCCGCTCGCACAGTTATCGTTTATCGTTATGTAGTAATGCGCCGTGGCTTTGTACTTCTATGCATTTGGTTTCTGGGGCTGAATTCGCACAGCCAGCACTTACGCAGAAGATCTTCTGCTATCATCTCCATTCGGCATCCTCTTCCTTCTCTCCACAACGTCCTTTCAAGCACAAGACTTTTAAATCCATTCAAGTTGGCACGACGATGCACATATACACGAATATTCAATGATGATACAGGCAAGGCTGCAAGCGAATGTCCATCTACGATTCCCCTAGTCTTCGGTGAAGAACTCTTCCATGAGCTCGTTGTAACAGTCCATGTCAGGCCCCGACTCGGACCTTGGCTGTTCCACGAACTGGGCTTCAGACTATTGCGCAGGAACCGTCAGGAATATACAAACGGAAAGACGCTGGGCAACATACCGTGTCTTTCGAAGGATTAGCTTCTTCGTTCGCGTTCGCGGCTGCCAGGGTTGCCTGTCCTCGGGGTCAGCAACTGCCAGTGCTGTTAAAGACAGACACCCAAATGTCTTACCTCTCGCTCGTCTTCCTTCCCCAGCTCTCGCGCAATGGCCACGGCCGGCTTGTCACAATCCTGTTTCGTCTAAGACACGAATTTCGTGTGACATGGAGTGAAGGAACGTACAGCGAGTACTGCTCTTGAATCCAAGTCAAATTCGGCGAGATCGTCTGGGTCGTCACCAGCGTCGCTTGCGCCGTCTCTCTTCGTGCGCCGCGTGCCAGCATCTTTCGAGCGGTGGAGGGCGAAGTAGCTGATGACGGGCCCGGGGGCACCGACATTGGGCGCAGGAGCTGGGGCAGCGACGACGGCAGTCATTGCAGCGAGGAGAAAGATGGTGGGTGTATATCTCATGGTGTGGTAAATGGGAAGACGGTGACTGACTTGGGCAGGAAGACAAAAGACTTTATACCTCCCCAATCCAAGACTTGTCTGGCGGATGTGGAACAAAGATTCCGCCGCTTCCGCTGTTTCGAAATTTATTCGCGTCACTCTACCCCTAGAACTGCCTTGATCAGTCGACCCGCTGCCGCAGATGCATATGTCGGGGATAAATTTGCAAACATAGGCGCTCTATTATTTAGTTTGTAAGGAACAATGCAGTGTCCAGACGATATATACTTAGCATATGCAGGGGGGAGAGAGGGAGTACTAGCGAGGGGGTTCCGTGGGGACAGTCCAATATATGTATACGAAAAGCGATAAAAAGTGTCCGAGGTAAAATCCAAAATACGAATCACGCATGGCTAAGCAGCACCCGATCGATCGACGCATTTATCGTCGTCTTGCGCGACGTCAGGTCCATCCCAAAGTGCGCTTCCAGCCTGCGCCGAATCTCCCGCTTCGTGATCGAATTGAGATCCGCATTGCGCAGCACCTCCTGCACCGCGCGGTCGAGGTCCACATCCGTTGGCGCGCCAGCGGGCAGGTCGAACTCGCCCGGGCTTCCAGGGATCGGGACGTCGAGGTAGTTGGTCACCGGTCGCGCTTCGTTGCGGAACATGGACTGCGGCGTGTTACGCCCAGATTGGTAGCCCGGCGCGGGGTAGTGCGGCATCGGGGCGTATCCACCGACTTGTGAAGGCGCGGGGGAGTAGCCGCGAGGCTCATAGGTGGTCTCGCGTCCGTAGAGCGACGCTGTGTGCGATTCGGCGTACCCCTCGTTACGGAGCTTGGGCGGGGGGACCCAAGAGCCGATGCTGTGGTTAGATTCCTTGTCCCACAACTCGTTTTCCTGCAAGACGAGACGTCAGCGTGGATGAGAAAGGATCAGATGCAGACAACGCACGTAGTCGCTCCAAGACTTGAGAGGAATGACACGGGGATCAAATTTGCCCTCGTCGTGGACAATCATCTTCTTCCCAGACTCTCCCAGGACGACACGGGTCTGACCCCAGGAGAAGTCGTCCATCTTCCAGAACGAGTAGAGCGGGAGCATGAAGGAGAAGACGGGGACGGCAAGGATGTAGAAGAACATCCACCCGATCATGTCCCACTTGCGACGGAGCACAAATACGAGCGCCTGGATCGCGTAAACGGCAATGATCATGATGAGCGAGATGGTCTGGATATGCTCGTGCTCGGCGGTGACGAGGTAGATGAGATATGCGATCTGCAAAATGTCAGTCAAAATGGGTAAGTGAGGAGGACGAAGACGCACGTAGGCGACGGTAACAGGTTGCGTCAGCGTCGACACCAAATCGATCATCACCACAAAGCGCATCGAGAAGCAGCAGAATCCGCACAGCTGCTCGAGGAACACGAGCTCCCCGAGATTGTGCACGGTGGAGTTAATCCAGCGACGCCGCTGCGAGAGCAGAACTTTCCAGTCATCGGGGGCGACTGTGTACGCATGCGCGTCGCGCACAAACTGTGTTTTGAAGAGCGGGA